ATATATATATATATATATATATATATATATATATATATATATATATATATACAAACACACACACATATATATATATATATATACAAAATTGTATGAAGAAAACAGAGCTACTAAATTTGTAAAGAATTATAAAAAAAACTCTAGAATTAGGCGTTAAATTAAAATCTAATAATAAAAAAAAAATAAATAAATGAAACAAAAACAAAAATAAAAGAGAAAAGAAGAAACTTTTATTTATTCACACCTAAGCTGTAAACTTATATAGGAACGCTAATACCAAGAGCAAAGTGAAATGTTTTAAAACAAAAAATAGGAGAAGAGAAGAGAAGCAAAAAACTAACAAAGTCAACTTAAAAGAAAAGCCTGCAATAATTACGAAAAGCAAGATGGAAATACCTTACTTAAGTGAAAACAATGAAAGTAACAAATAATTATATATACATTAAAAAAAAATATATAAATATATACATATTTATAAATGGAATACAATAAGAATAGAATGTAAATGAATACAAAGCTATTTATTCAAGATTTAGGTCATATTTCTGGAATACCCCTAATCCCAAATAAAAGCAAAAAGTAATAATACAAAGAAAACGAAAATGTATTCATAAATTGAGAATAGAGAGAGGAAAACCAATTTAAGCTAAGCAATTGAGTTGATAAACAATAATAAATATATATAATTAATATATATTAAATATATACGATAAGTTTTGTTTTAGTTAGTCTAACGCCACTTAAATTATTTATCAAAGGATATATGTATTCAATGAAATTGACTTTCATATATATAGAGGGAGAGAAAAACATAGGCAAAGAGCGATTGAGTGTGTGCGAGAGAGTGCAATAGAAAGAGAGAGAGAGAGATGGGTGTGCGTGTTTGAGAGAGAGAGAGAGAGAGATATTGCAGGTCTACTACATGTGTATGTACATTATTAATGTACAATCATACAGAACCACATAAGCACATAGATATAAACATAAACGAACGTGGGACAGAGACAAAAGAGAGTAAAATCTTAAATTTCAAATATATTTTAGCTACATTCTTTTGTATTTTGTTTCAGCAAAACAGAACAAACGAAAAAAAGAGTAAAACAAAAAAAAATTAATCGCAGCAAATGAAATAAAAATCAAAAACAGTACACTGCCCTTATTAGCTGCAGTCAACTCAAAAATAAATATAAACCAAATTAATCCAAAATTGTTTCAACTTTGATTTAACAGCAAATTTGCTTGATTGCATTAACTTCGCTGCTGCTGCTGCTGCGAGGGAAAGAGAGAGAGAGAGAGAGAGAGAGAGAGAGAGAGAGAGAGAGAGAGAGATGTATGTACATATGTAATACATATATGTATATAGAGAGAAGAGCCAAACAATATAGAGCCGAGTTGTTTCTGTGCTTTGCTTGTCCAGTCAATGTGTTCTTTTATTTTTAACTAATTTAAATACTAAAAGCTGCATTAATTATAATCTAGGATACATATATACATATGTATGTATGTATGTATTATTAAAGAACAGATATTTACTGGGCTTAAAAGATGCATAGGCGTTCAGGTCATCAGTGAGTATTGAGTAGTGCGTGGGGCCAAGGACGCTACCTTAAGGGACTCCGGCTGCTATTGTTTTAGCAGAGGACTTCAAGCCATCGACTGTCACGAGGAATGTACCTTGAAGAAAACTCTTTATGAGCTCAAACTGTTGTGGTGGTAGCAGGCGCTTGGCTTTATGAAGAAGCACAAGGGGCCATACTCTGTCGAAGGGGATTGCCTTAGTAACAGCCTTGATGTGGAAAGGTCTGTTGAGTGTCTTTCCATCATTTTGTTCAGTGCTGGAACAAGGCTGATAGGTTTAAAGGAGCTTACGTCCATGTACTCTTTTCCGGGCTCCGGAGCCTTACAATGTTCGCCGATTTTCATATTTTCTGGAAATAACCTACTCACAGTATGCCGTTAGAGGTCACAAGGAGGAGTACGGTAAATTTATCGATTGTGCCAGGAAATTAGTGTCAAACTAGGATTTGCGTTAATTCGAATACTAAGATGTATCATAGTATATATATTTATAAGTTCTGAACGAATCAAAATTACTAACAAAAAATTAATTCTGGCTACCTGTGTGAAGAGTGAATTACATTACTAATTGAAAGCGAATATGTCGGAAACATTTGCAAAGGTCGTCTACGGCACCGTGCTGCTGGCGATGATATTGCAAACGCCTAGGGTGTCCATTGTAATCACATACGATCCGAACCGCTCTTATCACTTCAATGCCGGGGTCAACGGGATCCGGTCGAGTTTTCTGGTCGCCGCACTCTTCACTATGATGGCCGTGCTGCCCGTTCGCGAGTTCAGTGGCTTCATTAAGCCAGGCAAAAAACTGTTCCTGATGCTAATCTTTCCGTGGGTATCCACCTGCTGTATGATGTTTGTCTCCAACTCAGTGCTGCTGCTGAGGATCACGGAACGAATGCTGGTTCAGAACTCCTGGAACTGTTTCGCCAAGGCTCTGCTGGCCTATTGCGCTCTTTTCGGATTCGCCACGGAACAGATGCTGCACTGGTACTCCATCTATCAATACCATAACTGGCAACACGCCATCCATGAAAAGTCCCCAGCTGAATAAGCCTGTCCCTGATGTGTTTGATGCGACATTGCTTGATCAACATTGATATTGATAAAAACCCCATTCACACGCATTTAGTATATACACGATCCTAATTATAAATGTCTTCAACTGCTACTGCTGAAAATAAAATGCTGTCGAAATTAACAATAGTAAGTTAATCAATCACCGGCTAGATTCCATACGTGGTAAAGCTCATGGAAATAGTTTCTCAATTTTGATCAAATCAAGCAAGTTTTCTTTTCAATTGTTATGTTTATTGTTTATCTTTATTTTCTCTTCTGTTTCCTGCCTTCAATTTCAATTAAGTTTTTCTTCCAAGTTTTTGGGGAAGTTTGCACCATGCAACAAAAAAGCAAGAAGATAGAGCAGTTCTAGCTTCGGTTAACCGAACAACTGATGCCCTTACAATCACAAAAACCCTCATCGAACTTTAATCGCAAGCCAATCAATCTATAATTCTCTCAAGACTACGAAGGCCTACAACCTCTTCGACGCTGTTATCTCGATTCGGTTAGTTAGACTAGGCTGCACAGTTATCAGATAAACAGACAGATAGTCGTGTAAGAGATCATTTAAGTAAGGCTCTGCAAGGGCATAGACGTAACACTTCTGGATAATAGCTCGATCAAAACATTGAGTTCTTAAGCTAAACAGCTTGTTAAATAATTGGACGCAACATTTGCATTTGGTTATAACTAAGTATTACATTTCTTCAAGTTTTCCCAATATTTCTTAGTTAAATATATATATATATAATAGTTATATATACACATATATGCACTCTATATGTTCAACGTTTGTATATTATTTCTATGCAGTATACACTCTATATATGCATGTATAATTCGCTTATTTTACAAAATAGTTGAATTGTGTTTTGTGTGTATAATGGAATCTCTCTCCCGGATCTGGGCTACAAATTCATTTCAAAAATAGAAATATTACTATTCATCAATTCTATTCATTTTTCTTGTTCGTTCATCATTTTCTCCATTCCTGTTCCAAGCCGCAACGGCAAATTCGGCTATAAGAATTACACTGTTAATATTAATTCATGTTGTTTTTGCTTCCTCTTGCATTAGTAGTAGTATCTATTTTGAAATCAATTTGTTCAATTCGTTTTTATATCGCAGCGATAATTTAGACGTAGGATAAGGAGTAGGCCTTTAATTAACCTTAATTAAAAAATCTTAACTAATGCATATTGCATATTGGAAATGGTGAATGGGGATTGATTGATGCATATCTCTGGCTAGCTTTTATCTAGAACATCTCTTTGCTGGGCGTCGAAATGCCCATCGGCTGCTCGTACTCCGATGCGGGCGACTTGTGTGTCCGTTTTTCCTTGTGTTGAGATTTGTCCTTCTTATGCTTTTTCTTATGCACCTTGGCGTCAACAGCTGCAGACACGTCACCTTCTGGGTGGGCAGCGGACGTCTCTCCCACGTCGATGATAGTCGTCGAGCCTATCGTGGTTGCGGTAGATTCGTCGTTCAGCAGCTTGCTCGATTTGTGCGCCCTCTTCTCGCGCTTCTTCTTCTTCAGATGCTGGCTGTGGTCGGCATGGGATGGGGCAGTGTTGTTATTGTTGTTGATGCCATTATCTGTTGCTGTTCGGCAGGGACTGCTCCCCGTGTCAATCAAGTCGGGCACAGAGTCCGGCTGTGATTGCGCCTGAGCCTTGCGCGTTTTGTGCTCCCCCCGAGCCTTTTCCCTAGACTTTTTCTCCTTTTTACTAGGCATTGCCACCGTCTCGGGATCTATGGATTCGGATGCGGCTAACCCGATTTGAGCCGTCACGCTTTCTTTGCTTGCCGACGCAGTCTTCGATGCCCTTGCAGGCGCTTCAAAGGCGGCCCTGTTGAGAGATTATCAATTAAATGCTACTCCGATTCAGCTTCTGCATTGTCTTACATGTCTAGCTCAATGTCGAGCGCACGATGCGGATCATTTGGATCGTATTTTCCATCCTTCTCTTCGCTATCGGACAACGTTACGCCCTCGGGCATGTCCAAGGTGGTGTTCACAATGTGCAAAGGCTTGGGCTCTAAAAGAAACAGTTGACACTATAGAATTTTTTTAGATTTTGAGTCACTGTGGTCACAGTGCTTACCCGCATCCGACTCGGAGCTGCTATTGTAGGCAACTTTGTTTTTTGATTTCTTGCTCTTTTTGCTTTTTTTATGCTTCTTTTTGGCATCTTTGCTGTGCGCCGCCGCTTCCTGTTGCTCCTTCAGATACTTGTCCGAGCGCTTTGTGACTGCAAAAGTTGTTATGACAGTTAGTCAGATGCATGGCATTGCGCTTGCTTTTACTTACTGCCCACACGTAGCGCGGCCACGCCCTCAATGTCCAGTGGAAGCTCGGTTATGGGTATGTCATCGATGTTGTCGTACTGATCGGCATTCGAGTTATTGCTGCTGTTGCCAATGGCCGCAGACGCCGAGCTCGGCGTTGACTTCAAGTAATGCGGATTGTTCGACTGTTCGATGAGACGTGCCATACGCTGGCGCTCCAGTTGCTCTGGCGTTAGTTCCAGGCTCTTGCGTCGTTTGCCGCCCGAGTGACTGCCGTTGCCGCCCCCGCCCCCACCAGTGGCATCGTTGCCATCGTGAGCGGCACTCACGAATAGCTCATCCTTGTCATGCTCAGAAGATGTGCTGCTTGCGTCGTCAGGTGGTGGCGCATTGATCCACTCGTCCAAATCGAGTCCGTCTGGCAGCGGCACCTTCCGCTGTGCCTTGGGCGCCACAGGTATTAGTTCGCCAGCGAACAGCAGCGCCATCTCTTGGACAATCTCAATGGCCATCGGCGGTATCGACCCCGTTGACGCATCCTCTGCTGGCTGAGTCAACTGCTTGCGCAGCATCTCGATTAGCATGCAGGCAGAGTTGGCGCGCTCCTGTACCTCAATATCGTTGGACCCATTGAAGTGCTGCAGCTTTTCCAGCACATGATCGCACAACTGTAATCACACGATGTACAAAATGTGGGCCAATTAATCGGATTGTCTTATACATTATGAAATAACATGTTTCCTTGTCATATACGGTATCCAAACTCAGTGGGAATATCGATTTTGATCGATTACATGCAAATCGATTAAGTTATCAAAATAAATGATAAGCCTCTAATACAAAATATGTACAAAAATATTTGCAGATTATTGTGTTCCATGGACATGGACAGATCGAGTCAACACGTCGTCCCGACTAGAAATGTATCTATGTTGATACATAGATAGGTTGATACCTATCTATCATCAAAATTTCTCATATAGCTATGAGGAGAAGCTGTATGACGTGAATGGATGGACTTACCCGTACTATGCCGGGCATATCCTGCAGCTCGAGGCAAGTGGTAGCCAGCCGGGCGAACAGCTTGATCACATTCTGCACGTAGACCCCCTGGATGTGGCCCGGCAGCTTACGCGGTCGCAGTAGAATGTTCAGAGTCCTCTCGGTGTCGGCCAATTCGCCAGAGAACTCGCCGACAATCCAGGCGGCGGCATAGAGCACCTCATACATGGAGTTGCTCTGGGTCGAAACAGCAAATGTGTCCAGCAGATTGGTCATCTCATTAACGGCGAACTGACGCACTACGGGCACACGAATAGCGACGTCCAACAGTTGCTCGGCTATTAGACGGCCATGCTTGGACCCGGCCTCCAGTTGGATGAGCTCAACGAGCACGGTCATATACCACTCGAAATTGGTCACGTACAGGTAGGAACTTTGTGCACATATCTCTATCACTTTGTAGAGCAGCTCGTCTCGATAAGCTGAGCCTTCGGCGCGCTCCATGTGGCCCAGCAATCGCTTCACAATCTCCATGAGATTCTTTTTCGACACCATGCCATAGAGCAGGTCCAAGGCGCGGAGTCGTATCGACTCGTCCTTGTCGTCTAAGCAAGCCAATATTAGATCCTTGTGCGTCTGTACGCTCTTTGGGTGCGTTTTCAGTATCTTCGACATGGCCAGCAAGCCCAGGTATTTGACTGTAAGTGAATCAAGAGACAAAAGTGAGATAGTGGACGGACGGATGGATGCATAGCTATTGCATATCAATATACTCATGCAATATATAGATATATACTTACGATTCTGATCTGAGTCGACAATCAGGATGCGCAGCTTCTGCACGCACAGCTGGATGGAGGCGCTGTGGTTGGGCATTCCGCTGCTGATGCTGATGAGGACGGCGATTACCGTATTGATGCACTCGTAGAGGAGGCTCATTGCCGAGGTGCTGTTTGGGTTGGACGGTTGGACACGGGTTGGCGGGTTAGGGCGACGTTATATCAAAGATTTCAGTTCGATTAAAGCAGCACAAAAGAAGCAACAAAAACAACAACAACAACAACAGCAACAGCAATTACAAATGGAGCAACAACAACAATAACAATAGCAATCAGCGATTAAGAATTAAGTATAAAAAAAAGAAAATAACAGAAAAAAAAATAAATTAATATATACAAATTCTACTTGAATATATAAATAGTATTTATGTACAATAGCTAATAATAATAAAAGAAAGACTAAATGAAACATAAACTCGATTTCATTTTAATGTTGGTGCTCGAAGAGTCGAAGAAGCATTCAACATAAGAGAGCAAGCGCAAAAGAGAGAGCGAGAGCGCTGAAGGGAGAGCTTAAATGTAACTAAATATATATGTAAATTACCTACATATATATTTGTATGTATATACATATATTATTATAGAGATTAAACAAGCAAATTTAATTAAATGTTTTCTTCTTTTTTCCTGTTATTTTTTTTTTTTTTTGCTTCTCTTTGTTATGATTTTGCATGGATGAATCAGCTCTCGATCTTCTTTGTTTTCATCTTTCCAGTTTTTTTTTTTTTTTTTTTTTTTTTTTTTAATTTTTTTTTTTTTTTTTTTTTTTTTTTTAAATTTTTTTTTTTGTTAAATTATAAGAACTTGCCTATGAATTAGATTTGTGAGTGGCTCTATTAATTTCTTTCCTAGCCGGGGTTCTAAGGGAGTTAAAGCG